ATTATACACGAGCCTCGAGAATCGCAACATGAATGCGCGCTGATCTGTGACATATTTACAAGCTGACGGTTGTTAAGAAATACGAAATGCTAGCAGGATGATTGGGAGAAAAGAGTATGATCGTGAAAATCACAAAGAATTTACAAGAAAGTTGATGACCATTAGATCCGCCTGGTCGGACTTGTATCCGTTGGTGCAACGATCCTGCCCTAGATTTCTTTCACAATCCAAGTCTTAAATAATATTTTTTTTCCACTTCTCACGCGTAGTCGAACGTTTACTTTCGTTGTATAATAATTAGAACGACCGGTGTTCGAACGGGAATTTGTCAGTCACAAAAGGCGCAAAACGATCCCTGGTGAAATTGAAAGTCGCGGAACTGCTGCTTAACAGGTAATACAGAGTGAGTTTTAAGCGATCTTACTTGTAGTCGGTAAAACAGTATTCATTGATGCATGATTAAATAAGAAGATATGTAAATCATGCAGGACTCTGTGATCGAAAAACTGAAATACCGACCTTAAAAAGCACCAAAAGTTTGATTTTATATTTTAGACGTTGATCTAATATTATTTTATTAAAAGCAATATTATTAATTTATTAAGACCAATAGAGCTATGCACTTAAAAAACAAACTAGTAAGAAATAAGTATAGTAAATTCTGTTCATCACTTCTGAGACAGAATTTATTTTTAGGTCTCTGATCTTTTAATTTTCTACGTATATAATTATTTGATTACCTTCGCGAATATTTTTCACATTTGAGAGAGGCATGATACTAATTACTAATTACACTTTCTATCGACTAATGGGTTAGGTTTATAGGATTATATAATCCTACTCGACTGTCATTCAATAATTACTGCAGTTTGTCTATTCAATAAATCAACTTAAACTGTCAAATATGATCGAATTTTATAATAAGGAACTAGAAACTTCCTATCTTATCAATATTATACAGATTTACATTCGAGCGAAATCGATCAAAGATATGGATTTATGTACATTAAAGTTACTTATGAACTGATGATTGTAATGTGATGAAGTAACGAATAGAGATTTATATTTTATTCACCTAGATGAAGAAAGTCTTTTGAACCAACACAAGATACAGGAGTATCATAATAAACATTGATATATCGTGAACATATTACATTTACAATTAGAGAAAATCCTGCAATTTATGCTGTGAGAATATAAAGCAATTTATCTGTTCAATAAAGATAAATTATTTATCAACACAAAGATATCTCGTTACAAACCAAATTACGAGTTGGCAGATGGAACGGTAAACACTGAAAAACCGCAAAGAAATCAATGGCTGTTGCCAACTATCTTCATAAACATGTTGCGGAGCAATACCCACGCGATTTATTATAAATGGAAATCCACTGACTAGTATGTGACGAAATGAAATATGTAATGAGATAACAAATTTTTGCAAACGTGATCACAACTAAAATGTGTTTCTTATCCGATACGTAATTACATGACCATTAAAATAGATGCGTTTTCATTAGCATGAAGAAACATGGTTTAATATTATATGTTGGTGGGTTAGGATTTTCAGTGCAATTTATTCTGTGCAAATTTCACGTGGTGATTTTATACAATAAGTGCATAAATAATTGTTAATAACTTTAGAAAACGTTTATAATCTTCATATGTATTTCTAATTACACGCTTCGCACGATTTTAAACAAAGTGCTACACTATTTCATTAAATCAATTTCTATACAAATGTATTTTACACCTTAAAAAGATTCACCACAATTATCAGTGCAAGTCTTACGAACTCGTTTCTTAGTTTCCCTGAAATGTGAGAAATAATCATAACTTTTACGTGTCTAATTAAAGAACATCCTTTCGACTTAACGTTCCACATCTTTTCTTTTTGATTAACGTATTTTACGATGTATTGTAACCACTATGCGAATGTTTATACATTTGTGAAAAATTTATGGATGAATAATGTACTGAATACAAAATAATATTTCAATATATACAAAATATTTATGATTAGACCGTGGGTACCTAAAAGATCGGAAATGGAAAACTTAAAAGTCCAATTATGGCGTATACCAATTAACCGATTATGGCGTAATATTTCTTATCATTCTCTACCATCGTTAAAAACATTGCAACGGTGAACTTTATTTTTGCGTTGGTCCATTAAATACACAAATTCCACGACCTTTCATCTTTCCAATTGACCAGAGATTCTGTATGATTTAATCGACAATTGCCACGGAGCAAGTTATCATCGATAATAAGAATTTAAATAAGAAGAATAATTACCTTAAACAATAAATCGAACTGTAGCAGATGAAAATGGAAAAAGCGATCAAAGAATCACAGTGGAGGAAGATGCGATTTCACCGAAGTATAAACACGTAGAACTTCGAACACGAGACTTTCACCTAATTGACAAAGCATGACGGTGTCACTAATCAAATTCATTTCTCTTAATTTGTGCAATGAAAAAATCCGTATTTTAAATATATCGATATACATACTTGGTGATTAATAGACATGTTCCTCTTGGCGTAATGACTCTATCGCGTCTATATGACGCTTTGATTATACTAACTGACATCGTTTCATCGATATTTGCTTCTATAGCGTGCTTATTTATTTTCCGCTAACGAGCTTCTCGTGTAATTTATGACACGATATTCAGAATTCTAAACAGCTACGTCTGGTATCGTACATTTTGCATGATACTTTTAGCGAACTTATAAAAATTCAATACACTGACCGTGATAATTATGTAGTATATTTCACGGACACGTATTGCATAGAGATGTGTAGCGCTAGAAAGGATATAATCGAAGACCAGTATGCAAAATTATACTTGAAAATTACAGCTGGAATCTCGGTTAACCTAAAAAATTTCTTCCAATGTTAAGGATTCCGTAATCCGCAATAAGTCGGCAAGCTTAATTAGCTTGCTAATGATAAAAGTAGAGAAAAATTCTTGCCGGAGAAATGTCAAGGTTCGCTAGCCCTGGTTTCTAGATTTGCCGCGTGAATCACCGATTTCTTTGCACGGTGCCACTTCGAACTTGACCCTATTCGGTGTATTTACGCTCGGTACATTTCAATTTAATCATTTAGTTGAAAATCTCGCGATTTTTTGTCTCCTGGCATGCAGCTATCTCATTATCAAAATGTAATAACCGTGGGAGAATAGTCTTGCTTAAAACTTTTATGCAATGCAACGAAGAATATTCTTGTCACGATACAAAGAGACACGATATAAAGAACTTTAGGTGTATTTGCGTTAGTTGATACGGATAGATATAGAATCATAATGTATTCTCAAAGGCGATGAATATATCTCAAGGGAAATAATATCTGATTTGTTTAAACATAATGCGGATGATTTCGAATCGTATGAGTACGATATTGACAATTATAGACACATTATATCATTGACACATGGATGATTTCAAGTAAACAGAAACTAGCCTAAAGCAATCGCAATTCGATACTAGTAATTCTAGATTCTACAAAGACACTGTCAAAAGCAGTAGACTATCAAAGCACATCTTTAAGGTATTAATGATTCCTTTGGTCTCGTTACACACAAAACCTCCTCGGGACCTCTAAGATCTCAGCAGGTTGCATGAGCTTCAACAGTATCAGTTCTGCGAATATCGAGGATCTTAATAGGTTTCAGGTGTTTCAAGATTTTCTAGACTTTCAATGGACCTTTAGAATGATCTAAGTTCTTAGTTACCCTAAGCTTTCAAAAGGTCCTAGAAATCTTAACATCCACTGTCATCCAGTTTCCTAATTCTATCAAATTTGTCAGATTTAAGTCTCTAATAACAGAGCAGGAATTACATGCATTCAAATTTGGAATTATATGCAAATGAATCTAATGTTATCTGTAATGGTAGCAGAACCCATAATCGATATTTTAGCTTCAGTTTTGTGAAATAGGTACTACATACACATCATAGTTAAAGTAAATTTAATGCTTTGTTACGTTATAAACCTAAATCAAATTTCGCTAGCATTCAATGGAATGAAACAATAAAGCAACTTGATAGAATAAAATTTATATTCTTCGATAATAAAACCAATTCTACTACAAATGCAGAAAATATTCCTATCTTTGGTCAATCCATCAACGTACACCAACTAGTGCACCGCGAGACAAATCGTTTCGCGAGCGGACGCAGTTGTGTGCGTTCGTACGTCAATAAGACGTCAATTTTTGTTAACGGTACCGGTCTGTTTCGGCCAATCATCTCGGACGTCGTACCGTGAGACAAAGCGGTTCCGTGCAGCACGGCACGAACGCGAAATGCGTGTATTCGCGGCGCAAGAACGCGACACGCGTGCAGTTGAAAGCGCATCGCGGCCGATGCACGTGCATCGTATCGAGGAAGTAAGCCGTGGCGACCGGGCAACGTCACGTGCCATTCCAAACGGAAATTGCCAGCGCCGCGATTTCAGGAATTAGACCTATTACGCGGACCGTCCGGTATAATGCCGGAAAATGACGCGTGCAACTTGTCGATTCATCCCCATTACGCGTATTTTCGAGAGCCTTTGGAAATCGGTGCTGCCGATGTTCCCGGTATCGGGTCGACGACCGAGATTGAAAGGAACCAGCGGCACGTTAATTTCTCTTTTCCTTCGGTTTGGCTCGGTTTGAACGGTGTGCGAAGTTTACATAAAATTCACCTGCGTGGAATATTTAACGAGATTTTAATTATGGAGGAGAAGATTATGGGAGTTAACAGGAAGGATGTTATTTTTTGGTTTTGACGTAATTAACAGCCACTGATCTTAATGAAACACGATAGAAATTGAGGGATAATAACGGTATTATTTACGAAGAAAACTGTTAGGGTGTTATTATACAATTATTCTAACGCAATTAAATATCGTATATAAGTTAAAATAATTGTCTAAAGGCTTTAATATAAATTTAATATTTTCTCTTTAGCAGAATGCTGTTCACACGCAAAACGCGGAAAGGACGTTTCGCGTTGTCCGCGCTCGCACAGATTTTTATCCCGTAAACGAGCAAAAACCATCGTCTTGCTAACATATCTCGTGTCATTAAGGTGTTAGGAAGCATCTTAGAATCGAGTAATTTGTTCCGTCATCATGGTTCGATGGTACTTCTAATTGGATACGAACAACCGAATTCGGTGCTAATTAAAGCAGAATTTACATTCGATCGGTCGCTACTTTCTCGATACTAACATCTCCCAGTTCCCCTTTCCGACTCTCCAAGTATCCTTTCAATTTTTGATGCACACGCTACGAGTTACGTAAAAAAAACTTTCTTTTCGATCGCGAATCACGCTCGGATTACATAAAAGAAGTTCCTTCAAATAGAAAACAAATATTACGTTAAAAACTGCGTGTGCTATTAATTCAACATGTCTGCTTCGATTTTTGTTTCGAGCATGCAACGAGTTATAAAACTACGTTTCAATCTATATGGCTATTTATCTGACATCTTACAGTATGAAATCTTATGTTATAATAAGCGATACGATATTTGCATTTCCTTATTAGCATCAATATACAAATGAGAATTCTAACGTAAAACACCATCAGCAAATTTATTCTACCAGACCAGAAATTGTGAACATTGGAAAACAAACAATGGGCATAATATTCCACTCAAACGACTATGCACTAATAAACGCTCCAACGAATCAACGAAGAACTTAAAACTTCAGTATCCAGCGTCTATTAATAAATCCATCTTGCCAGACCATGGAGCACAAAAAAGCCAGGAAACGGGGAACATAAAATTACACCCATTAATATCAGCCTACTAAAAATAAGTAAAACAAAATAATTAGTGTAGGTAAAATTCTATCCGAATGACTATTAATAACCATTCAAAAAACGAAGCAGACCTATCAACAAATCCATTCTACCAGATTAAACATCGAGAAGCAAGAAATTCTCATTATTAATCCATTTCAACACCACTAACACCCAACATCTACCAACAAATCTAACCTGTCAGCGAACTTTAAAAAACAAACATCTCAATAAATATAGCGCTTAACGCAAATGACCATGAATAAATAATTAATCAAATCATTAGGTTTATTATCCATATAATGACGCGATTTTTCCAGATTTTGCGAAACAGTCGAGTATCACGGCGACACAACGCGCCAAATAAGACGAACGATGGGGAACATTAAAATACGAAACGATCGGTGGATGGATGGGATCGGGTCGACATTAATGACGCGAACGCTACTTTTAAATCGTCCTGGCGGTGTGGCCATATCGAGGAACCGCGGCGTGGGTCGCCACGCGTGATCGCTGTTTACATACAAGACGAACGCGAGGTGGAAACGAGACAAAAAGCTAAGAACGCGAGGAAAAAACGCGAGGTACAAGCGCCGTGCAGGTGAGTGTGGGCTGCTCATGGCCAAACGACGCGTAGGCCTTACCTGCGCCAATCTTGTTTCAGGAAATGCGCCACAGCATCGCGTTTCACCATCAAGACCAATGCCAATTCAGGAAGATTCAATGAAAATCACGAAAATTGTTGTTTCGTCCGAGTCACTTAAAACTTTAAAATCGAGAAGCAAAGTGATATTGTTAAAAGCATTGTATTGTTTAATTTATCTGCAAATCTGTTACTATCTATGTTATCTTTTTGCAACAAATGGGCTTTGGTTTCAGAAAATTGAACAATAAGGTTGTGAAACTTGCAAAGAGTGGGGTTGAGATTTTGGCTTCTGAGATTTACATGAGATTTACTTTTCATGATTTACAAATTGAGAAATGAATGATTTTTGTAAATGTTCTAACGGGTGAGCTATCGCGACCTGTGTCTACAATTCTACTTGTTAGGTACAGAAATTGAATGATTTGTTTCTTTTAATGGACGATGTAGTAGAATGGTAATTACGCTTGATGTATTATGTATTACGTATGCAAGGAATGCTTGTGTATCAGATAGAGGCGCGGTGAATAACAATGATTTGAACTCGCTTCTTAAATAAGCGAGTTACATATTCTCAGCGTTTGTGCTCGAGAGTTACGGAAAACGAAAGCAATGGTGTATGCTGGAATGACGATTCCACCGCACCGATGCGAAGGAGGAATAGGAATTACGTAGCTGCGAATCTAGGCGGTATGTGTGCGCGTGTATGTGTATTCAACAGGTGAAATGCATCCAAGAGTTGTTCATACGAAAGAGGAATACAAATATTTGCTAATAGTCATAGCCTGTAAATAACCGTGATGTCTTTCCTTGGAAATAAAGCAGCAAAATTTATTACTTCGAAAGTATTATAATACAAGCAACGCCAAAATCCCTGAAGTTTGAAAAACTGCGTGTCAAAATCGAATCGAAGCATTGTCATGCCCTTTCATCTATTTTTAATCAACCTACGTGTTGCGAATTATGCATTGGAAGGCATACATATTCTCGATAATATTCAAGCTTTCATAAACAGTCGATGTTATTTGATTTGTAGCAAATGTAAAAGATCAAAATCAAATCAAAAGAATTGTCACAATTCTTAGCCTATCTTTGATCAGCCTAAGTGCTACGGATTTTATCAAGAACGAGACGCATAGATATTCTCGATGCGGTGGACGCTTTCATAATCAGTCGATGACTAACAGCGTGTCCATACCGTGGAAGGCATGTCGATGACGTAAGTACGCGGCGAACACTTTGCATGTGACGGCGCCACATGGAAAGCACCTTAATGTCGTGAAACATTAAAGCCGTTGCACGATTGACACACGGTCGTAAATCAACGCTTTCGCGAAATTCAGCAGACGTTTTCTAACGACAGATGAAAGTTTTGTAAAGTATTACGCCGTCTCTATCGACGTTTCTTAGCAAAGTTTGAAATTTCATCGGGAAACCTGTCCACAACGTTAGCGTATCCTTCGGCAGAAATTTTCGTTGCGATAAACTTGCAATCGAATTGCGAATGCTTGGACTCGAGAATGGCATTCTCACGGCCGGCCGAGTGCACCTTCTAACACGGGACGATAAATTCTGTCCGCGCGTGCAACGACAATCAAGCCCCGCACGTTTCACCACGCTTCGAGATGGTTTCTCTTGTCCCTCGCGGGAAAACGCCAGAGACAATGAGACGACGTCATTCGGCTTTCTGATCCGTTGTTAATATCTGACGGAATTTTGACAGTCACAATGGCTTGAGAAGACAATTCCAGAACAAACTTTCTATGCTTCCTTCTTTCAATCAGTTAGTTCTAAGCCAGGTTTTTCTTCATAATCGTTCGTAAAAGACAATTCATTTTGGAGTTCCGTATTAACAAGTTGGAATATTTTACCTGATCGACGCAATCGAAGGTTCCTTCCTCCCAAATCGGATCGTCCCATCCTCCGGATGATCCGGAAGAGCCCCTGCGACCCGGATCCCACGAGTTTCTCTTCGTATTATCCAAAGAATCTGTGGAGAGTCTTCTCCTGTCGTAAGAGCCCCTTCGACTAGAAAGCGGCGCTATGAATTTGCCGTCTTTTTTCAAGTTTCCGTTGGAACCCATCGAAAGATCAGTACTGAGCGTCACGTTTAAGTTGCTTCTTAAATTTCCACTAGATCCGGCCAAGCAGCTCTTCAGGTTCGACGTGCTTCTCGCCTTTAGATCGCTGTTCGACGAACTCAAGTTAGATTTCAGAGAATTCTGCGATATCGGAGAAGTCGCGAAAAGGCTGGCCAAATTGCTGGTGTCTCGTCGCGAGATTGGTCTCTGAAGACTCGTCATCGATTTTGCCACATAATCCCGTCTCAGTGGAGAATTGTAGCTTGACATGGTGTCTTTCTTCAAGCAACCCATTGATCGACCTATAGGATCGCGTCTTAGCGCCGAATTAGCCAAGGTAGACATGTGAGGATCTTTCTTCGTGTGATTGATGGCACTCATCGACGAGCCCAGATGATTTTTCCTCAATGTATTGGGAAAGCTCGAAGGATGAATCTCCTTCTTCGGTGGTAGAGAACCTCTTCTACTCGGAGATGTTCCTGGATAACCGTCACGACGACCGAGCGAATCTCTCCTGAACTGATACGCAGCCCCAATGGATCCTCTACGATTCCAGCAATTCTCCTTCGCATGCTTGCCGTGGATGTCACAACAGCTCGTGTCGATTTCCACCTTCACTATCTCGGGATTATACTGCTGTTGTTCCAGCTTCACGTTTCTGAAGAGAGCCTCCAAACGTCGTATCGCTGCTTGCTGATGCGCCGCAGTAGACATGTTGACAACGGACCAATCGGTTCAATAACACGTCTGATGTTTGCTTTACCGAAATCGCTTCCTTGACTTGTCGACGCAACAGCTAGTTCCTCCGGACGCTGCAAGTATACTGAACTTCGTCGATGCACCGCATAGCTACTGCTTTCTATCGAATGCAACCTTCCTGTCACTTGTTTCCCGGTTCTTACCAGTCTTTGACGCGTGTGCTCTACGCGAAAGATCGAGTCTGAAGACTAAACGATAAATAAACAATCTAATAACAACGATCGAGTACGTTCCAAGATATCTTATCTTCTGTTTTGTATCTCTCGTTGATAGAAAAATTTGATCGAAAAATCGACTTCGAGCAGTATAGATTCCAATTTAGATTATTTTCTCTCTCTCGAGTCATGAAAAATGGCACACAACTCACTGACAACCTTGCGAAGAACGGTAATGTTTCCCGTTGAACGTTCCACGGACAATTTACAGGACGGAAACGTAATCGTAGTTACATGGAAACGCGTGTGCGGCGTAACACACGTCCGGTGAGGTACTGGGGAACTCCGTGAGGAGAGAGACCCGAAGGCCTCACAGGAGCTCTCCATACGGATCCCCACCCGACCGGTGGCATTCGTAAAGTCCAAGTCTCCATATTAGGTCAAACCTTATGGGTTTGTCGCGCAAAACTGCGGGAGAACACCGACACGTCCCTGACGGTCGTTGTAATCGGGCCGAGGGCCAACTCTTAACTTTGCCATTGCGAGCTTTACTTTCTTCTCTTCATGGCTTGTCTACCGCGTTCAAAGCTTTACGCTGTCATCGACACTGGCTGTGCTACGTCCCCACTGGTACTCGACGTTTCAGCCGATTGGAGACGCGTGTTTCGTTTTTCATTTATCCATTGTGCTTTTTGTTGACATGAACAGATATTTCGAATGGTTTAAAGTTTAACTCTAACGGATCTATTATTTATTCCAAAGGATGTTTGTCAGATAATCTTATATTTTGTAAGTTTTATTACATTGTTTATATTGTTTAGTATCCTGTATGATGGATAGTCATTTTTTGAGTACTATGCAATTCAGTTTAAGTAAAAGAAAAGTAACATTATTTTAAAAAATATCACAGAAATATTTGGACATATCTGAATCAACTATTTTATTGGTTAGATTCTACCATTTATAAATATTGTTATCTTCGAGCTTCCTATAAAATACAGTTTTGTATATTATTATTGTAACGTGTTGCGTATTTGCCTTGATTTCTTCAAAGGAAACAAAATGAGCATGAACTATTTTATAAATAGTGTCTTACTGTTTCGTTATTCGCAACATCTTTGCAATCTCATGAATCACCTGACGATCGTATTATCTCCACATAGAAACTATTATTTTTTATTTTGTCATTCAGAACAGTATCTTTGTATCAAATTCATCCAATTCTAAGTTCATTCATCAAATTATCGATTTTATTGCGTTTAACAGCTTCTTGGTTTTTATCCAAAACATATTCGATCGTAACATAAACTGAACGTTCAAGAATGTTTTCCGATTCCAACAGAATTCCATCGAATTCTCGAGATGTCTACTACAAAACTCGAATTTACGAGTGTTTAAAATCGACCAGTATTCTTGGTACACCGGTGAACTCATTCAGATGTTTCTTTTTTTCTGCCTCGTGGTTGGTATTCGAGCTAAAGAAGGCTTTGCCTTCGGCAGATAAACGAAAGGGAAAAAAGATGTTTATTGGTCATTACTAGGAACGTCTGTGAGTCACAATCGACTGTGTCGAATATAGCGCTACACTTTAATGTTTCAAGAAAATGCTTGAAATCTAAAGCAAAGTAACAATGACTTACAAAACTAACAATGGCTCTTTGAAACTTTAAAACATTTTATATATGATATACAGATATTGAATTCAAATAATCAAGGTAGTGTTAGAGATATAATAAAAGATATATGTCATCGTTATTCTACTAACGTTAGAAGATAATCCGATCGTTCATACAGTACATAGTTACACAACATTTCTTTTGAATATGTTTCATAGCCAGGTTACGAAAGTATTCCAATGCTTAAAGGTGAACGATGTTTACAATGTTGAAGAGATTTAATGAATGACAAATTCAGTTGATAATATCACATTGTGTTATTATCATTTAATTATAATTGTTATTGCGTATATTTTGGTGTATTTATTAAATTAGACGACATTAATACTCTATAAATAATTAATCCGTTCCCCAATTATGTAAATTGTCAACGGGGGATCTACTGCGTCGGTAAATTCATTCATGATCTGACGCGCTGATATTCTTAATTAATCCCTGCATCACCAACGAAAAGCGTTAATAGAGTAGTGATATTTGCAGAAACAAGCTCTCATGCATGTAACGAGA